CCAATACCCCGATGATTTTTTTTTAAATTTTCATGTACTAATAGTCACAATTTCTTTTGCTGAATTTAGGATAAAACAAACGACATTCGAAATTCAACCACATAATGGCATCATCAACTGGTCAAACCATTCTGAAACCTATTAGCAAACCAAGAGTCAGATTTGTCCGGAAACCGAGAAGAACATGGCCAAAAATTCCTGACTCAGTCCATGTCGCTCAGATTAGTGCACAGAAGAAAAACATGGTAGAGCAACTCAACTGTTTGGAAGTTTTTATAGAAGTAACTGTTAAGAAATGATTTATTCTAGGCAAACGATTTCGTGTCTAGCGGCAAGAGAACAGGAATCTCTGAAATTAAGCTGATATCAAGCCTACCATCATTTTTCGACAACAAAAATAAATCGTCGAGTCAAGTAAGTTTCCTTTTTCATTAATCATGATATGGTAGATGAAAAAAAATGTCGAAATGTATTTTTTTTGTAATATTCATATTTCTGACTTATTGAGAGAACAAGAATTTTATAAGTAGAGATGATGACAAATTTGATTTCGATTGAGTGATGAGTTCCTTTTAATGAATATTTCATGAAAGGTTCTTAGAAAATTCATTTTGAAACACACGTATTTCACTATAGTTTGAAGCTTGCAAGATCACTATACACTGTAAAAAAACGGTATAAAAATAACCCCTTTGTGCGTTTATGAACGTGCAACATAGACTAAACCTTTTTTAACCGTACGTCAACATTTTCATAAACCATTAAAGGGTTTAGGGAAACCTTCATTCCACTCATATCAATTCTTCTACTGAACGTCCAAGATTGTAGAAAAGTTCAAAAAAATATCGGATCAATCCTTCATAATAATTAAATCTTAGAATAACTTTTACGAACTTTTCTCTACTTATGATAGATTGACCAGAACGAATAGTAAACATTAGCATAAGATTTAAGTGACGTATTACCTTTCTATATCAGAATTGAGAAAACGAGGTCTAGAGAATGCTTGTTTATTCATAAAAATGTATCATCCTCGAGAAAAATCAAAAATTGCCTCCTCATGCAAAAATCATAAACCCTTTGTTTTAAATTCATAGATGATATACCCTTACATGCAGAATAAAAAACCCTTCTATCAAAACCGTAGAATAAAATATTCTTGCATGAACAGTAATAAACCCTTCTCCTTGAATCTTGAAACAAATACCCTTATTTTTGTCATATAACCTTGATTTCATAAACCCTCAGGTTCATAAACCCTCGAAGGTTTTATGAATATTTATAGATAGGGCAAACTTTTATTGGTCTACGCTTTTTTTCAGTCTAAGAAAGGCCCAAACCGGACTGATTGTTTTGTATTTTTCTGAGACGTCAACCGTAGTTTGGGATGTACCGAGACAGAAGATTCTTCGGAAAAGATCAGGATTTTTCTCGTGCAAAACCTCCCGGGACTATCTGAGACTTTTATTGAGAGTTGTTTAGCTTGAATACCTTTAGCTATTCATACAGTCGGAAAGACTGAACACAGAAGTAAAAAGTCAAGTCTTGGTGTTTCGATCAAAATGTTATTTTTTCCATTTTTTGACCGACCCAGGACGATCATTCGGACGGTCTGAACTTACGTCTTGAAAGACCTAAAACGGCTGAAAAACGGTATGATAAGGCATTCATTTTAACACTATTTTCGTCGTTTTCTGAACTGGCGGAAAACGGCGCGCTTTTTCGGGGTTTGTACCGTTTTTAAGTCGTTTTCGGCCGTTCACGGACTGTTTTCTTGGACATGGGGAAGGTCGACCTTTGACTTTCGTATTCGATTTGTTTGATTGTTTGAACAGTCAAAGGTACTCAAGCTAAACAACTCTCAATAAAAGTCTCGCACAATTTCGGAGATTTCTGCAAGAAAAACTTCTCATATTTGCCAGCAATATTTCAGGCTTGACACTTCCTTAGTCGCAGTTCATGTCTCTTGCAACTATTAAATAAACAAGAAACTTTCAGTGATCAGGTAGAAAATGAAAAACGTTTTAAACTTCTTTTGAAAAAAACTTTATTATTTGATTGTTGAGAGGAAATATTTCAATAGACATGTATATTATTGTTTTGTTCAAGCAGTAAAATATCCGATTACTTTGATCTCAACAGTGTTATATACAATTATGTTGTTTAGATTAAGTCTCCATATTTGTTGAATCATTCGACAGTTTATATTCCATCCAAACTATTCTCAAGATGTTAATGCACACTATTGATATAACTATCGGTATGGATGTAGGTGCAACCATTTTTTTGGGGATAGTGAAGAACTATAACTTAGAACACCCACATTTATAGTTCATATGCTACATATCCACACTCTAACATATTTGAGTGGTTGTATGACTAAGATGAGAAAGTGCTGTCTAATAGAGACCCAAGTAGGCCACTTCTTCGAAGTCTGTAGGCCTGTCAGCATTTTATAGCTAAAACAAAAATGATGAGAGACTAGAAACTAGAGGTATATACCGAGCACCGATTGTACTTTTATACCTGGAGATAACCGGCCTATCATAGGCATAGAACACGATTTTTGGAGCAGTGAAACTGGCAGGCTCAGACAGCCCAACAGGCCAAGAATTGCTTGAACCTCTGATAAGTAGTGATCCGAAATTCGAGGTCTATGCCTATGATAGGCCGGTTACCTCCAGGTATAAAAGTACACTCGGTGCTCTGTATATACCTCTAGTTTCTAGTCTCTCATCATTTTTGTTGTAGCTATAAAATGCTGACAGGCCTACAGGCCTCGAAAACGTGGCCTGCTTGGAGCTCTGCTGTCTAATTTGAGCAGCGTGTAACACAATTTTGTGGAAATCACATATATTTTTGAAGAAAATGGTGAGTGTAAGTTTGAAAGCTAGATTTTCCCCCCTCTCCACCCCATCCCTCATTACAGACATTAATGACTTTAAAAGTGTGCTTATTATGAACTAGACTAATTAGACTGCTGTTTCTTCCAGTTTTTCCTTACAGACTATACGAAAAAAAGCAAGACCTGCCCATTACAGACATTGGCAAATAGTTTAAGCCATAATTATAGATTTTTTACTTGAACAGTAAATTTAGA